AAGTAAAACTAAATTTATGGTAATTTCGCGGAATCGAGTAAATGAGAACGTCTCTGTTGTAATTGATGATGAGACTATTGATCGCGTTCGGGAGATTAAATATCTTGGCGTGATTATTGATGACACACTTAAGTTCAACTCTCACATTGACAATGTCATCAAGAAAATTGCCAAGAAGTATGGAATTCTATGTCGACTGAAAAACGATTTAACTATTGCCAGTAAAATACAGCTATACAAATCAATCATCTCTCCTCATCTTGACTTTTGCCCTTCCATTTTATTTCTGGCCAATGCAACACAAATATCGAGATTACAGCGCTTGCAGAATAAAATAATGCGTTTGATTTTGAGATGTAATAGATTCACTTCCTCAACTTTGATGTTAGACGCCTTACAATGGTTGTCGGTGAAGCAAAGAATTGTATATTTGACTATGGTGTTCATTTTTAAAGTAATTAACGGTTTGCTGCCTCGATATTTGTGTGATCGAATTGAAAGAGGAAGTGACTTTCATAGATATAATACTAGAAACGCGGTTGAAATAAGAACACCACATTTCTTGACATGTGCTTCACAAAATTCATTATATTATAAAGGAATAAATGTTTTCAATTCGATGCCTAGACATATCAAACGTTTAGCAACACTTACAGAATTTAAAAGACACTGCATTTCACACGTTAAAACTGTCTTTTGAACAGTTATCCAGTGATTTTTTTTATGAATTGACAAATTATGTATCTTGACGAAGTTATCTCTAACGGATTATTTTATATGGATAGCTGTCATAACGACTTTTTAATAATTATTGTAGCACTGCAAAAACTATTTCAGTTCGCCACGAGGGTGATGATGGATTTTTAATATTTGATTTTATAGTAGATTAATTAAAAAAAAAAAGTATTCCACAAAGGTTTGAGCCTCGCGCGCGTATTACGGATATAGAGGACTGAATTTAACATTTGATAAAAAAAAAAATGCAATTTTGAAGCTTATTTGAAAGATACCTTGAGTTAGTAGTAAGTTTTCTGGCAAATGTTAGGGGTTCGTGAGCATTCCTGACATTGCTGAAAATTATGATAGCATCAGATTGCGGGGTTACTAGTGTAATAGGATGCTTTGTTGATTGTTCATTAACTCTTGATTGCTTGTAATACTTATGAATATTTTAGGTGGACAAAAAGGCGAACTAAGAGGTGGACACCTGAGCTTTTCCACATTTATATCGCTGTGAAGCAACTGTAAACTTTAGAGGGAATCTATATCTGTAACTGAAACCAGTTCGATTTTGTTTGCCAACCTGGTTAAAATGTCATATTAAATTATCTTAAAGATAAATCGTCCAGCTCAAACCTTTGTAGGGGTAAGAGGTGGGACCATCATCATCATCATATGATCATGTCACTAAGATATTTTCCTATATTTTTAGGCAATCTGTCGCTCCTTCCTTTTGTTGATTTCAAATGTGAAGTCGAAGCCGTTTGCTCAGATCTGAAATGGCTAATTTGAAGACTGAATTCCACAATATGAAGCAGGAATTCAATGAGACTATCTCGAATTCAATTCGCCAAGCCAGATTGCTTCGAAAGCAATTTCATTCGATTGGCTGCCATGATGGACATGTCTAAAAAAATCGATGAGCCTGTGATGCAAACCGTCGAGGAGCATGTACCTATCAATGACGCAGATGATTTAACTAAATTTAACATAATATTGGCAAATGAGGATGTACGCAAACAATATGTAAGTTTTTTTTTTAATTTATCAACAAATCTTGACAAACTTTTGTTTCAGATTGCCTACTACACGAAAATTGTTATCCCAGACACGTACATTGGAAGAGGAGATTCGGCTTTTTATATAATAGCAGATTGCCTATTTGCGAATTTGCCAACGTTTTTCAATTACTCCTGGCAATTGTACGTATTGGTGATCCAACGTACACATTACGAAATCTGGAAACATTCTGCAAAACTCGACTCTTCCGTTACTCGAAGGCAAGGTCTATCAGTAAGCAGCTACGGAAATCGGCTTGTCGTCCGAATCGGAAAAAGAAACACGACGGAAATGCGGATATTCCCATTGAAAGCGAGCTTGGAGCAGGTGCTACAGATGATGAGATCGATGAACCCACAGCCGAAACTTTGTAAAATACCGATGATGATGCTTCACATGCAGACAGTTCTATTGAGGGAAATGAACGTGAGTCAAACGCTGATGATACAAGAGAAGCTGATGACGTCGATGCAACCACTGATTCATGTGACGACGATGTACCCGAAGTGAGCACGCTGTTCGATTCCGATGATAATGCTTCACCAGATTTTGCCGGATGAAATCATTCAACAAATCACGGGCAACTGGAAGATAACCATTGTACATTTCAATAGAACATATACGAACTGCACAAAACAAATATAGAAAATGATGATAGAATTTGTCAGGTAGAAAATCTTTAAGAAGTACCAAACTTAGATCCAGTACTTAGATCTATTGTGATATGTTCCCCGTTTTGATATCGCTTTTCAGCATGTCGTATCGCCATTTTATGAAGCGACCGACATAGACTGACCTAAAGCATTTTCCCTGTCAGGTATTACATTTCGAATGAATTGCACTACTTGGCTGGGAACTGAATTCCAAATATCAAAGGGTTCTGTCAGCCCCTTATTCAGAAAAATACGCCTCTTATTGAATATTGCTGTACAAGAGCGCATAGCAGGTGTTCAGAGTCTTCTTTTTCTATGCCACATAATCGACACATTTCGTCTTGAAGTTTTCCCATTAGCTTCAAGTGAAATTTACATGGACAGTGTCCTATTATTAAACCAGTGTGCATACTGAGATCTGAAATGCTCGGATTAATAAACCGTCTAGCAATGAGAGTGTTGTTCCAATTTGTCTCCACTTTCATGTTTTCCCATTTCTTGAACTCCATTCTAAGAGAGCAAGTAGAAACTCCACAGAATGGTTCTGGTCCAATAAATTGTTAAGATGATCCAAGCCTAGCTAGATATTGAGATATTTATTACTGGACCTGTTACCCCTGCTCCTACACGATTATCCAATCTAGAGCCGTCTGTATAAAAGACATTGTCCCACAAATCGCGATCCGCACTGCTACATTGTAAAGACGATCGAAGTGATATTTTTTCTTCATCCAATCTTCATTTTGTATCACAAGAGAATCAATATTGAACATTTCTAGGATGCTCATATGTCCGGTCAAGATCACCTTCAAGGAAGTTCTGTTACCGTCGGATCCTTGATGTACTCCTTTCGGCTTCTAATTGAATGAATTGATGCAACGGAAGCAGATAAATTAGAGCATCTAGTGCCATACTTGGTGTGCTGCTCATTGCACCAGTAATTGAGTGAGTGGCTAGTCTTTGCAGCCTCCCCCAGCTTCTTCTGAGCTGATTTTTCATTGGTTTTAGGCCACCAAACCAATGATACATAGGTTATTCTGGGTCTTACAATCGTCAAATAAATCCAGTGGATCATTTAAGGTTTTAGTCCCCATTTCCTAACAAAAGTTTATTTTTATTTATCCAAAGAGCATGTGTTGCTTTACTGATGACTTGCTCTAGATGCCAATTCCAATTTAGTTTGCTGTCAAGAGTAACTCCCAGATACTTGACTGTGTTTAAAAGTTTTAAAATTATTCCTTTCAGTTATTCGTAGCTTGTATGCAGGCTTGATGGAGCCTCGCTCGCGAGTTTGAAATGAGCCGAGCGTAGCATTTATCTGAGGAGTAGAATGTCTACTGCCAAATCATTCCGCTGAGCTTCAGAGCTTGTGAGCGAAGGGGGATAAAATGAGAGTGAGGTTTGCTGATATTCATGTTCATGTTTTCTATCACACGCTCTTACTCTCACTCTGGGTGAACTCTGATCTTCTTGCGTCGAACAAAAAAGTCACCCGGAGTCTCGAGAAGCGCACCTCACGTCAAATCATCCTCTCGCTGAAGTTCACTCTCCCTCTCTCTCGAGGAGTTTTTGTTTACTTCTTCCATATTCCTGCCGCCACTCACTCGAGGTGAGGGTTGGCTAAACTCGCATGACAAGAGTGTTTTAAAACCTCCAGTGAGTTTGAGGAGTTTCAGCAAGCCTGCTTGTATGTTGTGATGTGATGGGCTTGGTGGCTTTAGAGCGACCATTTTTGCTTACTGAGTAGAACATCAAGAGTTTAATCTCAAGCCCCTCCACATTCAAGATTCGTTAATCGATTTATTTGTTAACTACAAATCTGCATTATCGCGTATTTCAGTCGTTCGTTATATACCAAGCGAAAACGTAGTCATGTTTTGTCGCGGAGCGTTATGGTTCTGAGATGCTCGATGACCCAAGAGGAATTGTTTTTGCTTACTGACTGTCATGAAAATGAACATTTTCTTTCGATAGTCGGGTATCGAGAGATTAAATTAGCAACACATAAACAATATATACTTTTGGTTGCATTTCCAACTTGAGGCGAATCCTAACCGAATACCCTACCCGAACGTCCAACTCCGTGGCACTTAATGAGGGTGTCGCTAAGTCGGTGGCCTGTCGTTAAGTAAGTAATACATCAACATTTTCTTCCCTATCCCTAGTTATGATAAAGATGGGCGTGGCCGGAAATAGCGACAGTCATGCTGTTGGAATTCTTGTTTAGATTAATGTTTACTCCCCAGCATTATTCCTTAAACTAATCTGACTGAGATTTTCAAAAGGGTCGAGAGTGTCGCTAGTATCTAATCTAGCGCTAACGCTAACGCAAAGGAACACATCTTAGTCCTTTTTACTTTTTATGCCTTGTTGATAGTGACACGACTCTGCTTTGTCCACCGAAGATGATCTTGAAACAAGAAAAAAATAGTTATTTTTCATCTACGTGATTCCTAATCTTTTATTCACTGTTCGCTAGTTTGAGGTGATCAAGACTAGGATTCTGATGCATGGTCATTATCGGTTATTGCTTGATTTTGCTGCGAAGGAATCCGTTTTTGACTGACAAAGGAGCGCGCCTTTGGAGGGAGTTGCAACACGAATTGGTCGAAAATTAGAATAAAATGTAAACAAGTAAATCATTCTCAAGAGGCAAATGAGTAGCATACAAACCGAATTTAAATAAATATCACACAATGACTCATTCAAACTAATATCATATTGCGTTGACCAATCGTAATTGCAGTAGTAAATTCCAAACTGTAAACACTTTTTTGCCTCGTGAACTCTAGCCACATGACATAGCGAGAACTCCCGAATACATCCATTATCATACCATCTGTTGTAAATAACAATCCATGGCAGTACGATCAACATTGGATAATTTCCCAAATTTTGATTCGAAAGCGAAAACCAAAAATCAAACCAAAGAGAAAATGCATCGATGGCAAATTTTGGCGATCGGATCCCAATATTGGTGCAGTTGCCTTTGTATAAACAGCATCTAATAAACCAATAATAGGCTGTGAATGACATTATTTAGGTAATAACGCATTCTTCGAGGCAAACGCGATCGCCCTGACGATTGGTCAGTTGCCGAAGAGCGCAAGCGCACAGAGTACAGTATTGATCACCGCTGCCGCACACTTAGTTCAGCGCTATCACGTTTTAATATACAATTGCAACGGGAAGTGGCGTCCAAAACCATCCCACTAGCAGCTTTGCCTACAGAGCATCATCATCAAGTCAGTAGTTGCGATTACTGCGTCGCATCAATACCTACAGCAATCAAATGTTTACTGCCGTCGGCGGTTAGTCGATCGCGGTGACCTTTGAGCCACTTGATAGTTGACAGTGAGAATCATTCCGGTGCAGGTGTAATGCCGATGTTTGTCAATCTGCTTCTGTTTGCGCTCGGTGCAGTTTCACCGGTGGCGCGAGCCAATTTGTGCCACCAATTTAGGACGCTTCCCGAACCGGGTCCGTGCAACTGTACCATCGATGGACAAGTGTGGTGCTCTGATTTTCGGTTGGAACAATCATGTCTTAATCGGAACGATCACACCTTACTATGCATTAACTGTGATGGAGGAAACTTAAACACGAACCTGACGATGCCGTTTGGCGTCGACTTTAGTGCGATAAGAAAACTAGAAGTGTACTCTTGCCTGGTGAATGCCCCCCTAAAGGACACTCTGGACAAGATCGGAATACGTGATGTGCGAGCGGTGCAGTTCTACGATGGTACGCGATTCGAACATCAGTTGCCGTTAAGTGGGTTGAACTTGACAAAGGTGAAAATATACGCCGAGAATATAACTCTGAGTGACAACGATTTGCTTCCGGATAGTGAACAGTTGGAAGAGTTTTACTTACAGGGCAGTTCAATTAGTGTGATACCGAATAACTTTCTTGCGAACAAACCGTTCGTGAAACAAATCTTCATTGCAAACAATAGCAAACTGAGTGATCTTCCTGAAATATTTGCCATCCCGTCGTTACATAAGTTACATTTACAGCAAAACAACATTGCAAGAATAACGTCGACGGTATTTTCCGTGCTAAGGAACTTGACGGTGCTCGATCTGAAAGCCAATCCAATCAAATGGGTGGCAGAGGACGCTTTTCGAAACAACCGAGCTTTGATATGTTTACACTTGAGATTCGACGATGGGCAGCTGCCGGAGCACGTTTTTGAGCCACTGGAGTCGCTCACAGAGCTGCGAATTGTTGGCGGACGATTGCAGATCATTCAGGAGCAGCTGTTCCGCAATCAAAGCCGCCTTACGATACTGGATTTGAGTGACAATCAATTGGCACAACTGAAAGGGTAGGTGAAAGTATGTGTGGTCTAATAATCAGTGAAATTCCTATGCAATGATGTGTATAGAGTTGTACGTTCTGGCAATTGTTGAGGTAAAAACATTCACCATTAGTGTTGGGTACGTGTTGTTATAGTTACAATCTTGGTCATAACACAGTAGCTTGTATGTATTTAGATTGACTTGCAGAGCTTATGGCGACTTCGATTGCGATTAGGTGAGCCAGAGCGTACATCGACCGGAGCCAGGTTACAAAAACAAACGATCACACTCATGTATGTGAGAAAACAAACAGATCCTATTTTGATTTCCCTGTATGGATGATTTGGTTTCATGTGAAATGGAAAAATTGAGCAATTGCAGTCCAACTAGTGAAAGAGGGATTCCATCCAGAATGAGCTCCAAAAACCTGAAATCGTGCGTAACCATCTTCGATTTAGATGATAATAGGCTCATATTTTCAGTAGGAGAGATGACCATTTGGACTAAAGAGTCATTTTTGAAAAGGGCCACACATAGGCCAGATAGGTACAGATATTATTAAAAAAACATGTTCGAAAACAGTTGTTATGATCGTGTAGTGATTGTTTGAGATTGTTTGAGTGTGCAGTGCGAAACTGTCAAGGGGTAGGTCACTCCACACACCAATCTTGGGTCATCTTTTTTGTCAGTGTGCCGCAAGTATGGCGATTGTGTCGGTCATAGAGCAAGCTGCGATTGTTTGTAAAATACCCATCGCGGCAACCCGGTATTTCTGACACCTTGAATGTTTTGGTTTGAAATCGCAAGGATAAATCGGATTGAGGATGACGCGGGAAGTGGTGGGTGTGTGAATTTTCGGTGTTTTGTGATCCATAGGGTAATAAAAGTTCTGTGTTTTAGTGTTTTATAATGCCCTCAAAGGCAGACCAGAAATCTAGCCTTTCGGCCGGAAAGAGTTGGAACCGGTGGGGAGCATTGTTAGAGACCAACTATAGAGGGTGATGAATAGACTTCTTTAGATTGCTTTGTGTCATTTGCAGCATTATTTGAATTAAGGGTATTAATAAGGTCTGATTGACTGCCTCTTCCTCTTGAGTCCACTCTAGAGCCTACATTTCGTATTTAGATCTATAAGTGAACTGGTGGGCTGAGTTCCTCTTGTATATTCAATTAGAAGATGTTCCTGAACATACAGTCAAACAGCACTTAATGTTCTGAACAACTTCAATGACAGTTGTCCAGCAGTGCTCCCATTTTATTTACAACAATCTAATGCCTACGAGATTGTGCCGAAGGTATGCCGAAAATGTGCCAATGGATGTGCCCAAGCTGTGTAGAATATAATTCCGGCACAATGTGCTGAGTGACTTACCCCTTGGAAACTGTACTTTTCTGTTTGGTGTTTGAAAGAACTACGTGGACTGGACGTGGCAATAATGAACAGGCCGAGACTTAACGAACAAAAGAATGTTTTATTAAAGCAAACTTGAATTGCTCACATCGAGCTCTTGAATTGGAATGACAGCGAAAAATAACAGAAGTGACCAGGTCAGGTAATCCAACGACTACTTTGATTTCACCCCCTATCGCTTGGATAGTCCCAGCATCGTCCGAAGTTCCTAAATCGTCCGACGTCCAACGATTTAGTGAAGAAGTCAGCCAACTGGTTGTTGCTGGCAATCGGCTCCACCAATAGCTTTACCAGCAGCGACGTGATCACGAAGAAAATGGTGTTTAATGTCGATGTGTTCGACTCTCTTACTCTCCAAGTTCTTGGTCATACCAATGCATCCACGGTAGTCCTCGTATATGGTGATTGGTTCAATGTTCAGCTCACCGAGATCGGCTAGAACACCGACTAGCCATATTGCTTCCGATGCTGCAGCACTCAACGCTACATATTCAACTTCGCTTGAAGAAGTTGCAACTGTTGTTTGCGTCTAGCTTGACCACGCAACAGTACATTCGAAAACACGGAAAACAAATCCGCTTACTGATTTCCGGTCGTCAGTATCAGTGGCCCAGGCTGAATCCAATAGGAAAGCAAATGTCCGGCCTTGTGGACATCATCACGTACATCAGGCTTCCCAATAATTCACGGTACGGTTCTTGAACACCTTCGGCCACTTGACAATCCAATTTCAATCCTTTCTCCATTGGCGTCCTTGTTGCATTGCACTCCGCCATGCCGAACTTCTGCAAGATCTTTTCCAGGCTGGTTTCTTGAGACAGCATCATTCTACCATTTTGTTGATCGTACCGTATCTTCATCCCAAGAAAGTGAGTCAACTTTCCACAATCGATCATTTCAAACATCGCCGACAGTTCGCATTTCAGCTTCATTATGGTGGATAGCTGCATACCTGCTATCAGTAGATCATCGACATACAACACGATGAAAACAACGTCTTTTCCCCTCTTGTCGATACGGGTGCAGCAGCGCTTGATTGAATTTTTCGTTCCAACAACGAGGAGACTGCTTCTGACCACACAGCGATTTCTGTAGCTGGCACACCAGCCCAGGGTCTGCCTTGACGCCATCCGGAACAGCTATGAAGATTCTCTTTTGTAGCTCACCATGAAGGAACGCCGTCTTGACGCCCATCTGATGGAACTGGAATCCCCTTTGTACGCCTACGGCCAGCACAATTCGAATCGTCGTCAACTTCGCAACGGGCGCATATGTTTCATTGTAGTCCAGGCCAGCCTTCTGCAAGAAACCTTTGACTACCAGTGTTGCCTTGCATTGCACATGGTTTCCTTCCTCATCCTCTTTCACGCGAAAGACCCACTTCGACTGCAAGGGCTTGACACCAGCAGGGCATTCCACCGTCGTCCACACCTTATTGTCCTCAAGAGATTTTAACTCGTCTCTAACTGCGGTAATCCAGAGCTGTCGATCTTCTCGATCTTCGATTTCGGCGTACGATTCCGGAGGATCTGGGAGCCTGCGCTTCCGTTCACTGCGTCTAGTGTCAGACTCTGAATAGTCATCACCTCTATGTTGTGAAGGGAGCGCCCCAGGGTTTTCGGATGGAGCTTCTTCGGTTGGTTCTTCATCCAGATCAACGGTGCTTTTCGTATCCGGATCGACTTCATCTTCGGTTTTGCTTTCGATAACAGCTACTGCTTCTTGTTCGACCGACAGCATGGAAATCACTCAGGGAACCTTCGAGCCTTCATCTTCTTCATTTGCGTATGGTAAAGAAGTTTCATCGAACTTGATGTCACGAGAGATGAATACTTTTCTTGCTTTTCTGTCCCATAAGCGGTAGCCATTTGGAGCATAGCCAATCAAGACCGCCTCCCGACTCTTGTTGTTCAACTTCTTCCTCAGCTGGCTTGGAACCCACGAAAACGCTTTACATCCAAAGATTCGCAGCTTGGAGAGTAAGTACGTTCCAGTAAGTGCTGCCTCCGACCACATGAACTTTGGCATATTTTAATTGATAAGTATGGTTCTCACCTTTTCTACTAGGGTTCGGTTTAACCGTTCAGCCACGCCGTTTTGTTGAGGCGAGTATGAAACGGTTGGCTGAATTTGAATTCCCTTTCGTTTGGAGTACGCTTTCTGTTCTCCGGAGCAATACTCACGTCCCTGATCGACAGTTACCTTGGAAATTCGTTTTTCAAACTGGGTGGTTACCATGGCTTTATACTCTTGAAAATGTACGAAGACTTCGGACTTTCTCTTCATCAGGTAGATGCACGTAAAATGGCTGTAGTCATCTATAAACGAGACGAAATATCTCGATCCATCCCAAGCCGGCGGATCGATTGGTTCCCACACATCCGAATGTATCCGCTCTAGCAATCGACTGGCTCGCTCACTAGTTCCGTTGAAGTGTTCTCTGCACTGCTTTCCAAGCACACATGTGTCACAGAATCCAATTGAATCAACTTTTGGACCAAGAACTTCCACCATATTGTGTCGAACTAACGCATTAATCGTGGTTTGACTGGCGTGACACAAACGACGATGCCAGAGATTGCTGACCTCCGCTGCGCAGAGATTTGCTGTAGGTCCTACCACGTCCAGATCTAACTCCAACTCGTAGAGATTTCCTCGCAACTGTGCCACACCGATCGCCGCATCTACTTGCTTCATCAACGCTTGATGTTTTCCGCCGCGGCTTGTGAACAACACGTCAATCCCGGCTTGGGACATCTTCTTGACAGAAAGCAGGTTGCCTCGCAGCTCTGGTACGAAAATTACATTTTTCATCTGGATCAGAATACCTTCTTTGGAAATCCCCTTGACTTCGCCTTCATATTTCCCAACAATCGACACACCATCTTTGGCCACATCAATAACGAAAGGTTGTTTGAGCTTCCGAACCGACTGCATGCAATCTAAACTGTTAACCAGATGGTCGCTACAACCGGAGTCCACGTAGAAGATGGTTCGCTTGTTCTGCACCCTCGGTTGCTTCTGGTTCACCATGAACGAAACTGCTTTGCTTCCAACCGCTGCGTTGACGTTACCAAACAGTCTTCTTGACACGACAATCTTTCATCATGTGGCCAGTTTTGCCACATCGATGACACTTTCCGTTGAACTTTCGTTGCTTCTTATTTCTGCCTCCAACAAACACTGCTGCCTTGTCTTCGCTCGAATCATCCTATCAGACCGCTTGGATTCTTCAGCCAGTAACCGCTTTTTCACAGTCTCCAATGTGAGGTCGTTTTCGTTGATATTCTCTAGAGCCGTTACAAGGGAGTCGTAGCTATCGGGAAGGGTGAGAAATAATTGCGATACTTACGCGCCTGCCGATTTGAGTTGGCGTATGATATCGTCGAACTGTTGAAAATGATGCCGCATCGACGCATCGAAGTTCCTTCGATGCCTGGATGTACGGAGCCTGGCTTCCGCAACAAGGTCTGACTTGCTACAGACTTCTTCGCATATGTATCTTCCAGTGCCTTCCACATTTCTCGAGCAGTCTCCTTGTCCCGTACTATGCCTAGACATTCATCAGAAAGGAATCCAACTAGTAAGGACTTCGCTCTCCGATCTATCTGCAAAAACTTCGCCCTTCCCTGGTCCGATTCTCCGGGAACTGGCTTGGTGAATACGTCCTAAACTTCTGCCGCATCCAAGTACAGTTGAACTCGAAACCGCCAATTCTCGAAGTTCGTTCCATTCAACTGCGGAATTCCGGAGCCTTCCTTCGTAGACGAGCCCTTAACCTGAAGGAACTAAATACGTGGACAGGACAATAATGAACAGGCCGAGACTTAACGAACAAAAGAATGTTTTATTGAAGCAAACTTGAATTGCTCACATCGAGCTCTTATATTGGAATGACAGCGAAAAATAACAGGAGTGACCAGGTCAGGTAATCCAACGACTACTTTGATTTCAGTTTCAGATGCAATCAGCAATAAAATATTTCAATATCGCCTTGAGTATTCTTGTTCAACTGTAAGAAAAGCATCATAAAATTGCTTGGCTCCCAATGAGGGTTCGTAACAGCATAGACGGCTGCCCTACAGTAAAAGTATGGACGTCTGTCAAAAGTTGTTCCAATCGAGTGTTCAACAGAGTCGCATATGTCTTCGACTTTCATCTCATCCGTGATACGCTTCGTCGAATCCAGCCTGTTGATGTCTGTAGTTGTGAGAGCAAATTTTCAAGGGAATTTGTACGAAATTTCTACGAAAATTGTTGGCTGATTTTGAGAAAAATCTCAATGGAATTTTTAGAAGAAATTCAAATGAAATATGAGGAGAATTTAAATCTATTTTGGGAATGTTTCAAAAGAATTTCCAGAGAAAAAATACTGACGAGAATTCCATGGTAATTCTAAAATTCTAAGCGTGAATTGTCAAAGGGAAACTTTTTAAGTGAATCAGTATGAGCCTCATTGCCGGCAGCTTTACGGAGCCGTAATATCTCTTATTTCAAAGAACAAGATTTTCTTAATCTAAATCTAGTATGGATGGGACCGATTACTTGCGATTTACTCGAAGTTATAGGGGTAACATATTCGTCTGACCGTAGAAGATCAGGAGAGTAGTATGGAAGTGGGGTTTGTTGGCCTCATCCGAGAGTTATCCCCAGCAAAGTTCAGCACAGCACACAGAGGTCCAAATGTCGAATTCAAAATTCTTTAGAATCGTTCCAGATTCTAGTCGCTTCGTACAAACGGGATCGAAATATGAAATTTTGATTATTTATTACAAATTCGTTACCCTGCGAGAGCTTAATAGAATAATTAATTAATTAACTCTTCCCTTTTTCCAGACCCATCTTTGCCAATTTGAACGTCCTCGAGGATCTAGAACTAGCCAAAAATCAGCTCCAGTCCATTACCAAGGAGATCTTTCCTAAACTAAACAAACTAAAAAAGATCAACCTGAACGGAAACATGTTCACCGACATTTCGTCCAACCCAGAGTCCATCTCTCCCTTCGATAGGTTGAACCTGTCCGAGCTATCACTCGAATCGAACCAACTAAGCAACATTGGCTTATGGGCCGACAAGTCCAGTCTGAAGGTACTGAAAATGAGCAAAAATCTACTGACCAGCTTAGACGTCAGTGTCATTCCCGAAACATTGCGCGAGTTGGACCTATCCTACAATAGTATCCAACATGTACACGTCAGCGACGAAACTCTGAACAGCAACCAGCTTCAACTTAAGCTAATACTCAAGGGAAACTCGCTGAGTTACGATTGCCGGTTGATGAATTTCGTTCGATTGGTTCTAAGGCAACGTGATTTAAGGGTTATTCCGTCCATCGGGATCGAACAATTGAACGAAGAGCAATTATTCTGTGATCTGGAGCAGCCTTTATGTCCGAAGGAATGCCACAGCTGTCGGTTGTTCGGACCCCAACGGCAGCTGATCATGAATTGTTCGCACAAGGCATTGGAAGCGATACCGCGGATCCCAACGGAGCTGCATCTAAATGCATCATCGGTCGTTCTGGACGTTCGCAACAACTGTATTCGACTGCTTCCAAAGCTCGAAAGCAATCCCGGATTCGGACTGGTGAATTCTCTGCTAATGGATAACAATCTGTTCGAAAGCTGGAGTGTGGCAAATTTGCATGACAACCTCACATCGATCTCTCTGATAAACAATACTCTCCAAAATCTGGATATGAAGCTGGTAGATGCAATTATGGCGCTGCCGGAACTTAAACAAATTCATCTACACGGTAATCATTGGCCTTGCCACTGTGCGCTTGCCAACCGGATGCTTCTCCTTCAATCCAAGATCAGCAACTTCAACACCCTAACCTGCGGTGACTCCGGACGATTACTGTCGACGATTGAACAATCATGCGAGAATCAAATGTTCGCTCTAACCTCGATCTCATTCCTTACCCTCATGCTGATCGCAGTTGGATTCGCGATCTACTATCGCTACCAAAGGGCAATCAAAACTTGGCTCTTTGTCAACCATCAGTGTCTGAGTTGCGTTTCCGAAGTGGAAGCGGACGCCCATTTTAAATACGATGCATTCATTTCATACTCCCACCACGACGAAGACTTCGTAGCCAGCGAGCTCGTTCCGGCCCTGGAAGCGGCTCCACAAAAGTTCCAACTTTGCATTCACGTGAGAGATTTCATCGTCGGAATGCCAATTCAATCGCAAATCATCCAGGCCATCACCAACTCGCGGCGTACGATTGTCTACGTGACGAAGCACTTCCTGCAGTCGGAATGGACCCGGCACGAGTTTCGGTTGGCGTTCGATCAATCGCTCCGGGAGAACCGGACGAGATTGATCGTCATCCTGGCCAGTGACGTCAGCAAACGGTTGGATGAACTGGATCCTCAGCTGAGGATGTTCTTCAGTACGACAACGTATCTGCGGAAGGATGACGTGGCCTTTTGGCGAAAGCTGCTCTATGCAATGCCTCGCCGCGATGTAGTCACAATGAAACAGGAACGGAAGGCTCAGAAAGAGGAGCATCGATGGCGAAACAGTTCGCTGAGGGAGGTAAATCTAAAACGGGAGCAGAAGGATGTGGCGGATGTGAAGTTGTAATAAATAGGGTAAACAATACGCAGTTGGGGTTTTCTGAATCCGAAAGCCTCGAGTCGTCCCAACTGGAATGCCCAGTCGATACTTTTAAATATCAATGTCCAAATATTTTACGATGGCCTTAAAAATAAGTGCTTCAAGTGTACATTTTACATCTAGGACTTAAGCCCCAAAAGAACCATGCCACTTACCTGATAAATGTTGAAGCTTAGTAGACTTCCGCATTTGACCCGCAGATTGACGTTGATATTTCCTGCAATGTCAAAAAAGAGCCAGTTAAAAATCGTACCGAAACGCAATCACTCTCAACTCACCTCCCGTTTCCTTGCAGCTCGAATCGCCAACGGTAAAGAACATCGTTACCGCTTGCTCCCGATAGTTCGATACCACCGTCAAATTTTTAGTACAAATCTGCACCTTCCCATCCCGCAACTCCTGCGACCCACTGTCTTTACTGGCATTCACCACTAGCTCCCCGCTGGCGAAAATCTTCTTCAAATCAACACTAGATCCCGTCTCGTTGCTCAGGATCTCGCAACTTTTCTGGCGGAACTCCGCTCCAAACCGTGGACACATCACATTCGTTGCCCACTCGAACCGGTAGTGGCACTCGTGCATTACCTCCTGCAGAATCGGTACACCTCGCCCGGCTTTCGGTTGGCAGTAGAACTCAACCTCAGTCGAAAGTTGCGTAGCATTGTCGTCGGGACAATCACTTCCCCGAAGGTACCTCAGCTGGACGCGGTCACCAACCATGGTCAACGAAACGTCCGGATAACCGAGCGATAGTTCTTCCTTCGGAGTGGTATCATTAGGCGTCTTGACAGCCATGCAAGCGGCCGATCCTCCGGGGCACCCCAGTCCATAAGTCGAAAGTAACGGACGACAGACGTTCAGATAGAATTTCCTAGCCTTCGATATCGCGAGGGAATCGTTGACCAGTGCTTCGTAATTGGATTCGGCGTTGATCAGCGCACTCAGATCGACTGTTATGTCATTTTCATTGTTCATAGCGACGCAGGAAATTCCTTTGCTACAGGCAAGTTCCGTTTCCATCTGAATGATCACCTCACAATTGTTGTTTTCCACCAACTTGGGTTGAGACTTGTCTCCCTTATCAGTTTCGCAGATGAATTCGATTTTTGTGGTCCATTTTTGATTTTGATTGCAAATGGAACCCGATTGATATAGCAGATACGGAGCTCCGGTAATGTTGTACAACAGGTCATCGTTGACGATACCCAAACTGACGGCTTGCAAATTATTGTTGGTCAGCTGACATGCTCCGGACGTATCTACGAGTAGAAATTCTGGATTAGTGTACATACTAGATTTTAAATTTCCACGATAAAAAGTTAACCTACCAGGGCACTGGCTATTGGCCATCTTGCAGATTCCAAACTCATACGACATGTTCGCTTCCTTTACAGAATAGACTCGGTTTGCCAACGAGCTCATGTTGAACGTCAGTCCGCTGTTCGGGTCCACCACAGCGCAAAATTCCTTCTTCTTACATGCTAGTGACGTCCGCCAGAGAAACACATGAACGCAACCCTCCTTAGCGACATACTCCGGAGTCTCTTCCGTAGCGTCCGGGTCACATTCAAAAATGATCTTCGAATTCTGACAGCTTCCCTCACTGGAATTCAAATGCATCACCAGTTTATCGCCTTCCATCGTCGGATTTGGATCCGTTTGGCCATAGTCGTGATAACGCTTCCTATAGTCGGATTCCGAGTTGTTCACGAAGCAAACGCTACTTCCCGGTGGACACATAGTCATGTGGCCGTATTGAACCGGCTTGCAAGCCGTAACGGAAAAGTACGATCCATTGCGATCGGCGACGTGGTTGTTGGTGTGACTCAGTGGCAGCAGATTGAACGTATGGCCAGTGGCATCTTTGACGGCGCATTCATTGGCTTTAACTCGATCCGGCAGCGGAGCACAGGCCAAACTGGTCGTCCAGAATATGAAGTAATTGCACTGGTCCGTTGAATACGGTATAACACTCAACGGTTCCTTGACCACCGAGTAGCTGCACATCAGTATGATATCCAACGTATAGTTCATCCCATTGCGACAGGGCTCTCCACCGGTGAAATTGAAATGGATTCGACCGTCCGTCAGCTGGAGGGTCGAACGCATTCCCAGCAGAACTTGCGATTTGTCGTTCCGGTTGAGACATGCCGCTCCACCGGTGATGTTGTTGCATGGGAAATTTAGCTGATCACATACATCGAACAGGAACTGCTCGTTGATGTCCGACTTGACATGGTGCGCCAGTTCGGAATCCAACGCGGTTAGGTTGAAGGTTATGTTGTACAGGGGCTCCCTTACGATGCAGTTGTCTCCGGTTAGGGTCTGAAAGTTGAGAAAGTTTAGGAGTGGATTAGAATGGAGATTATCTGCGAATTGGTGTTCATACAGATGCCCACCTAATTTCGTTTGTTTTCAGTTGTTTTTATCCCCAGCCGGTATGTTATGGTGGAATAAAGAACAAACGATTTCTGTGCATATTGGGATCTCAAGAATCTAGGCTGCCACCAGCAACAAAGGCAACCGAAAGTTTACTCGGTGGGAAGCGCTAAACGACCTATAAAGCTAAATGTTCCTTACACAGTTTCAAAGGGTAATGGAATTTTATTGTAATTTCTAAGGACCTCATTCCAAGGGAGTTCTGGGGGGAAAATCTTTGAGAAAAACATCAAGTACAATCTGCTTTCAAGGTAGTTCTGAGGAGTTGTAGATTTCATGTGAAGCCTGAGATAGTTTTGAGTAGAATTTCAAGAAAACCCTGCATTGAATTCAAAGTAAATTTTAATAAAAAATCATAGAAATTTCCGAGGAGCAGAGCTCCAAGAGCGTTCTGAGGATAATTTCATGAAGTTTGTGGGAGAAACTAATCCGGGGCATAAGTATTTGATTTTTTTTTTCGGAGAATACTAAGGGGACGAGGGGGATGCTAAAAGGAGGATTACAATTAAGTCTGAGAATAACTCCAGGAGATCTTGAAAGGCATTCGGAAAAGAATTGTAGGAGAATTTGTTGAACAAATTATGAGGAGAAATCGAAGGAATTTGTGAGGAGAAATGCAAATGAATTCTTAGCAGATTTTCAATGTAAGTAGAATTTTGGAGGTCTGAAACGAATTCAATGATAATTCTGAGATGCTTTCCACAGAGTTTCTTACTGAGAAGAATTTCAAGGTAATTCCGAGGAAAATTTAAAGAAAATTGAATTCGGAGGATAGTTTCAACGAAATTTACAGGCATATTTCAGTGGAATTAGTAGATTAGATCAGTAGTGGTATTATTTAAATAATTCAGAGAAGCGTTCCAAGTGAAATTATAGAATAATTAGGATAGATTAGGTTTGCTTTATTTAGAATAATTTCATGAGAGTTTCTGGAGTGTAGAAAGCTACTACTGAGGAGAACTCCAAGTGAATTTTCGTGAGAAATCTCCGTTGAACATGGAATTGACTATACTTAGGCCTTCAGAACTACTTGGAAATTCCACAAAATTTTCCTGAAGTTAACGAAACTGCCTTGAAGTTCCTTCGTAATCTATGAAACTAGTCCGATGCTCACAACAGTTTTCATCAAATTTTAAACATACCTGAACTTTTTCGGACTTCCACAAATTTCCTCATTTTTCCTAACGATCATGGATCTTCTCAAAAGTTTCAATAATTTAATAAAGTTTTTGCAGTTCTTATGAAGCTTGTTGTACTGCTCTGAATTTAATTGAGCTGTCCTAAAAATGTTTAAGTTGCCGTGAAATTCTGAACTTATGTGAAGACCTTAATAATTTTCTCAACTATTTGACGTTTTCTGAAAAATTGGGAACTTCTTAAAAATTTCCGCATATTTTCTGAAAATAATAGAACTGAACTCCCCTGAAAATACCCCTATTTTAGGAGCTTACTTAACTTCTTTGAAAGGCTCCCGCATGTTGCTGATGTTGATGAAAGTTCCTGAAGTTCTCGGATCTTTCCTTTTTTTCTCTGTTCGGGGGACCGACCAGTAATTTGATCCATTGTAGTTTAGTGCATGTCATATTCCTCCATCACTATTGAAAAATAATGAACTACCGGAGGCATCGTGTTCGGAGTGTTAATTAGGAGCTTTCGATGGCTGTACCATTTTTGCATTAGTATAATTATGTGGCAAGTACAATCATACTCTATGCCCCCTTGAGAAATTTTCCAACTCCTATACCGGACCGGGAATCGAACCCAGCTACCTCCAGCATGGTCTGGCATTGTAGCTACGCCTTTACCGACTAAGGGAGGCTCCTCACGCCTATAGATCTTTAAACTGCTCCAAAAGTCTGGATTAAACTTATGAGAACTGCCCTTGGACATTCCCCAAAGATCTCTAGATCTAAAAAAAAAGTTTTCACAATTTTTCTTAAGTTCAAAATATATCTAAAGTTTTCTCACCGGTGAAATTCTCTGAAATTCTATGAACTTCTTAAAAGTTCCTGCAGTTGTTAGGAAGCTAATCGAACCGCTTTGAGGTTCTTACAGCTTCCAGTAAGTTTCCTATATTTTCATTCCTTTTGTTCCCGCAGTTTGTTTATGAAGTTCACTGAAATTCTCAGCATTGTCTTTCATTCATTTCTGTAAAGTTCCAAAAAATTTTTGTGAAGTTAATGGAACTTCACCGAAGATCTCCAATCTTCCATAAAGTAAATTACAGACTTGAAATAAATCTTTTTTTTTTCTTAATTCTGGCACTTTGAAAGAATACGAAACTTCAAGACATTGAATTCTTTAAGATCTTAGACTTACTAAAATTAAGTAAGTTGTAAAAATTCAAAATTCAATATATTTTATAGTAAAGCTGTTTCTTTGAAACTGATTGTCATGTCTTAACCCGTAAAAGCCCGGGACAAACTTTTTATTTTCATGGCCGAATAAATTGATTTTTTTTTACATCATTCTGATTAGTGGTTCTTACATCTGTTGGGTGGTACTCTCTCAAGGCCCCTCTCTCTTTGCTATATATTCAAGAATGTGTTGGCATGGCGGTGTTTTTCACAATCGTTATCATATATCTTACTTATCATCAACATATTGATTTTTTTCGTGGAACTCCCGAAAATTATAGATAACAAGGCCGATAAACGAAATTTTTCGATTCATTAATAGGCCCGCACGCTAAAACGGCCAACCATTCATTTATTTCATTTCATTGATAAGTTTAATGACTTTGAAGGGCCAATGATTGAAAAATTTCAAACCAAGGCTAGGCCCTACTGCTTGAGGCAGGGTCGTTTTTTCGTGATTTGTTTTGAATTTGCGGTGCGAAAAAAAGATGGGCGTACCATTTCTGATGACAAGCACAACGGCTTAACAAAAAGGGCCTATTCATGGAAAGATTCACAAAAAGGCTTTTTTATGAAATTAAATTGTTATCAATTTTCTTATATTTTTGAAAGCTTTTCGCATATTATGGATGTAGTAAATATATATTTTTTTTGCTTTTTTAGAGAGATTTCCAGCCTTGGGCTGGTTCATCTCTTAAAAACGAGGAGTGGGGACTTCAGACGGGAGTCCCCCTAATTACAGAGCTAATAGGAAGGGGAGGTGAGGTTCCAGAAGAGAACCCCGAGGATACGGAGTTAGGGGATGGGCGGAAGCTCCAGAAGGGAGTTCCCATAATAACAGAGTTTTAATAATTCAGTGTTGAGAATTTTCCTTTAATGCTACCGATGTTACTGTCCTTTTGAATAATCGTGGTCAAGTTCAAGTTTCGTGTCCTGTTCCTTTGTAGTCGCTGTGTTTAATTTTAGTGCCATAATTCGTCCATTTCCGTGTCCTTGTACATGCTTTGCTATGTTCGATATCTTCGTTCATCCGTGTCCGAGTCAGTATTTGTTGCCGAGGTATAGTTTTGAGTCCATATATTGGTCCGGATCATTGTCCGTAGTCGTTGCTTGGGTGTTCATAGATCAAATTTGGTTAATCAGACTTGCCTCCTGAAGGAAGCAGAAAAGTGCAGCGATGCTGGATTGGTCAGGGTATCCCTGATGCTGCCTGAGATCCCGTAAAGGGAACGGGGCCCATGGTACTGGGGGCATTCGCATAAGAAATCGTATCGACAGTGCACGTACCGCACTGTCGTCTAAATCGGCCTCCGCACTTTGGTATGGCCGGTTCTCAACCGGGATAGAATGACTTGGAGTCAGTGTTCAAGTGGATCCTCCCATTTCCTGGTATCCCCTTTTACCGTCCGGATAAATAAGTCTCGAGATCGCATCCATTCGTTAGTCCAGCAGTTCCATATAGTGATATTGATCCACCACTTTATGTCGGGGACGGGACCTTTCTGGTGTAAAAGTTGGACTATCTTCCGGATGCCGCCAGTGTCCGGGGATCCCACAGTGTCCGGGGACCCAGACAAAGGTTGTTTCCGAACTGGAGCGAACTGCTGGATACCCTGGATCCAGGGGTGTTCAGCTGAAGAGCTGCTAAAGGGTGATACGGTCAAAATTTGGTCAATATCAACTTGACGTATTTCTTTCAATTTTGCATTTAAAAAACCTGAACACCCCTCATTTTGAAGGTGTGTGTGTGTAGAATGTTGCTCCTATTTTGATTTTGGAATTCACTCTTCAGTTGTCAAAATGCCGTCCAAGCAAGAAGAGCAGCGTATCAAAATTTTGCTCGCGCATCGCGAAAATCCGAGCTACTCGCACGCAAAGTTGGCAAAATCGCTAAAAGTTGCCAAATCAACCGTTACAAATGTAATTAAAGTGTTTGGGGAACGTTTGTCGACAGCCAGGAAGTCTAGATCGGGGGGCAATCGAAAACCGGAAGCCGCTGAGACGACAAAGAGAGTTGCCGGTAGTTTCAAGCGAAACCCTAACCTCTCTCTCCGAGATGCCGCAAATAAGCTGGGTGTATCGTCTACAACCGTGCATCGAGCCAAAAAACGAGCCGGACTATCGACTTACAAGAAGGTAGTGACTCCAAATCGCGATGATAAACAAAATACGACGGCCAAAGCGCGATCCCGGAGGCTGTACACGACGATGCTGACGAAGTTTGACTGCGTGGTAATGGACGACGAAACCTACGTCAAAGCCGACTACAAGCAGCTTCCGGGACAGGAGTTTTATACGGCAAAAGGAAGGGGAAAGGTAGCAGATGTTTTCAAGCACATGAAACTGTCAAAGTTCGCAAAGAAATATCTGGTTTGGCAAGCCATCTGTACCTGTGGCTTGAAAAGCAGCATTTTCATAGCTTCCGGGACTGTCAACCAAGAAATTTACGTGAAAGAGTGTTTGAATAAACGTCTGCTGCCTTTCCTGAAGAAACACGGTTATTCCGTACTGTTTTGGCCGGATTTGGCATCTTGCCATTACGGTAAAAAGGTCATGGAGTGGTACGCCGCCAACAACGTGCAGGTGGTTCCCAAGGACAAGAACCCTCCCAACACGCCAGAGCTCCGCCCAATTGAGAAATACTGGGCTATTGTCAAGCGGAACCTAAAGAAGACCAAAAAAACTGCTAAGGGCGAGCAGCAGTTCAAGGCAAACTGGCTTTCTGCGGCGAAGAAGGTGGACAAGGTGGCTGTACAAAATCTGATGGCAGGGGTCAAGCGTAAGGCCCGGCAATTCGGATTTGGAAAAGCGGAAGCCTAACTGAATATTTTTCCTGAATTTTATACTAATTGAACTTGAAAAAGAAATTTAATTTGATTTTTTAAATAAACGATTTCACCGATTTACACGCGTTTTCCCTTGACCAAATTTTGACCGTGTCACCCTTTAAAACACTGGCAGAATCGGAGACTATGACGATCGGTTTGTTGGAAGGTAGGGTGGCAGCTACGAGAATGGCGGCTGCTTCAGCAGTGAAAACGCTGCAAGGGTCTGGTAGTCGGTAAAAGGAACACAGCTCCGAATCGGAAATTCCAATACCAACTCTACCGCCGCTTCGGGATCCGTCGGTGTATCGTACTTGATGATTGTTATATTTGGTTCGATGTAATTCGGCTACTGTTCTCACTAGTGCAGGGAGGTTGGTTCCCGCTCGGAAGCTGTTCTTTATCGCCGGATCGATGGACAGACCGGGTGAGTTCCAACCTCTTGCTAACAGATGGAACTATGCACTTTTCAAAAGGCAGCTTTCCACTCTCCACGCAAGCTGCCAACCTGGGGGTGGATGGAGGAGACCTGATGTGACCCTAATGGCCTGATAATACACTGGAGCCAGTTTGGAAACCAACCTATCAGCAGGCAGGCAAGTCAATTCTAAACCGTAGGTCAGTCTGGAATCAACTACCGCTTTTACTACACGCATACGAATAGCACGGTTGTTTTTTGGTCAATGTTCGGAGTAAATCAATCCTCGTTTGGCAGCTCTTTTCCACTTCATTAAAGTGGTCGACAAAGTTTATAGTACGTTCAGACTACAGAGTTATAACATGTTATAGCGCTATCTTGATGGTGGATTCTGTGTTGCAATTATTTGACAACCGTTATAACATGTTATAACTATCCAGTCTGGCCAGCGTTTTAGATGCCTATCGAGTCGTAGGCCGAGGATGCGGATAAAAAATGTGGAACGCTTCACGATTTTGCGTGTCATCCTTGCGCAGGGGCCATGCTAATCTACTCTGTATCGTTCCAATTTTAGTATATGTCCAGCCGAAGCTAGGACATGTTGTATACTGAGATACAGTTACTATTATTATAGTGAACAATATAAATGCCAAAAATACTTCAGTTTTCTTAAATATGAATAGTAGCGGAAAAATTTAAAATTCATTTTCTGGTTTGTTTACGTTTTGGACATAGGCCCATTTCAAATGTTACTCTAGAATTCTTTATTTTCTAGACTGCTCATGTGGAATGGCGGTGGAGGCAAAGAAATATAAAGAGATGGTTGAGTACCTTAAGAAGGATTTGTCGAAGAAGGTCCTTAAATCCAAAAGGCTACCGGAGGAAAAGGTTGGTCACACAGAACGGCAAACTATAAGATGCTTTGACGTCGAATCTTCTTCTAGAGCCAGAAACACTCTTTAAAGATTATAATGAGTTCATCGATGTCAACACGTTTTCCCTCGAGGCAGATAACAATTGATTTTTGTTAAATCCTTTAGTTAACGTTAGTGTGAATAATAGCACAGGTATCCCCTTAGCGACAACCCTCAGGATTTCAGTTCAACTCAGGAATGTGTCAACACCCAGTGGGAGCTGAATTTATATTAGCCGCAAAATCATCAAAATACCCTTTTATTTGAGTAATTCTTGTTCAACTTGCAAAAATGCAACATCAAGCATTGAGCAACCATAAATTTGCAACTATATTTAAAATGTTAATTGAACAGCCATCCTCAAACTACACCGAGTAATTAAGCTGTATGAAACTAGCAAAGTCAGTCATACTTTCTAAAAACATTCTGTGATTAGGAAATATTTCCCTGAATTTCAATTAAATTCCCTGATTTTCAGGTACAACAATGGATTCCCTGATTTCCCAGGTTTTTACCAGGTAGTCCATACCCTGGTTTATGTTTTGAGAGTTGGTGCACAGGTAGATTGAGGTTAAGGAAACGCCACTGGTTAAGGGCAATGGTGCACAGTTTTGTTCAAATTCGGTCTATTTAAATGTTGCAAAGTTTTCAAAATAACGTCTTAAATATTTCAAAAAATTATAGCTCGAAAACGGTATTCTGATACCAAAATTTGGTGTTGATCAGCATGACATAAGAGGTGAAATACCAAACAATACTCGTCGACAATGAGTCATAAGATTATAAATCATTAGTGCGAAAATAAAGCAAACATGTTGAGTGTAACGATTTCTATTTCGATTATCAGCAAAAAACAGCCACAAACGTGCCTGACTCAACAGGAACTCTTATGGTGGAGCAGGGATAACTCGCTCTTTGGACCATCGTTCATCGTATTCCCCCAATAGAACTTCAAATTTTCGCACCGTACAACCACACTCTGTGTTTTCACTGAAGGTGCAACCGAGTGCGCATTCTAGTGAATCTTCAGTGGAAACACGGAGTGTGACTCAACGGTGCGACATTTTTGAAGTTTGTATGGAAGAATACTAGCGTTAAACTATCTATTTTAAGCCGGATTAACGGAAATTTTAATTGAACTTAACGCTTAGCTTTTCATATTAAAAATTATTGAACGATGCTCAAAAGAGCGATCCATCCCTGTGCTGGAGTCCGCGAAACACATCACTCTATCACGCTAGATTATTCGAAGAAAATCAAAGCACAATTAGGAAGGTACTCTTTTTCGAATGAAATATACCGAAAAGCAAAGTTTGAATTGAACTAAACTGAATTTGAACACACTAAAATCCAGTCAGTAAGGTTTTATTAATTTTTGAATTCAGTTCTGCAGTAAAAATTTAAAAATCTGTGGAAAATTCAAAAATGTGACAATTTATTCCGAACTTGTAGATACTTAGTTCTGTTAGCCACATTTGATGATAGATAATAATAATATAAATTTGAATTTTTACTGACTTTTTCAACAATTCAAAAACCCAGTAAAAAAATACTGACTCCTGTGTATGATGCAAAATGCAGTTGCATTTTTTTCTTCTAAATATAACCTTGCACTAGTGACACGGCGCCAGTCATTTTTGCATCGTTGATGATGATGCTTCCAGTCTGTCGCCCGCCCGTGATCCCGAACGGAGTCGAACAAAAACAAGGAGTGATACTGAGAGAGGGTGGTTACGGATGAATGGATACAGATGATTATATACGTACCAAGCTGTTTGCTGACGAGCCAACGGGATATGCCAGCAGCATCAGTACCGCCACGGCCACGATCATCATCCACTGGTTACAGCGGGCTGGTAAACGCCTCGAACCCGGTGGGGTGGATATTGATTTTCTCCTTCGCGTTGTTGTTGACATATTTTCTCCGATGATGATTGCTATAGCCGCTCAGGCTCCAGGGATTTGTTTTGATCTTTTTTTTTCAAACAAAATAGCGATACTCTTCTTCCGTTTTTGTATATATTATCGTTTCCAACTGACAACAAGTGTGTTATGTTTTCAATCCCACTTTGTACCTAGACGTGAACGACGCGAAAGGTGTATATTTTTATCAGCCAGCACAGCACAACATTCACTCACACGATGCACAATAATCTTCGAAACGAATCCCCTTATGTACACACCTTTTAACTGTTTATTCACTGAATGCTAGTCGTCGCTGATAAGGGTTATCCAAATATCGCCCTCTATTCGAAACAACAGCCAAATTCAGACAAAGAACGGCACCAAATTCACAATGTACAGAATTTTCTGCTAGGTCAGCAGCTTAACTTGGTATTTTCAGAGAAATTTTCTTTTCGTTTTCCTTGAAGGACACCAGCCACACACTAGCGATGGCACTATGCACTGTTGTGAACGGAACGAACGGCTGCAAATTATACAACCACCACAACACTCCTATCGATTCGATTCGTCTTTACTCGAACGTCGTCAGCGTGCGTCGTATGCGTTGCGATTTCCCGCACTCAAAAAGAAAAGACCGTCAACCGACCGAAGCTCAGAAGAAACAAAACACGCGACCGCACTCAGTTCTCTCTTGCCGATGGAATAATAATTTGATGACGACTCACAGTCACAACAACACCATCTGATACTCGCACTCGCTCAAGAAAAGCATCGACCGATGATGATGGCTGTTGGGTGATGACGGAAAAACGTAAACAAAAGGAAACAGAACGAGCAGTGCTGCCAAGAATGCGGGAGCTGGATCTTTGTTCTGTAAAATGACCCTAATAAATTGTTATTTTGCTTAAGTACGTGTTCAGGGTATTATCCAAACTATTTGTGGAATAATTGTTCTATCATTATGGTATTTTTATGTTACCCTCGAGTCTATCAAGCTTTTGAGCATATGTTCAATTCCAGAGTGAGGGTCGTGAAACATTCGGCATCCGAAAAAGTTACATCCTTTTAATTTGTTTCAATATCTGACAAGGGCAGTGGCGTCGCCTTAACCTCAATCTACCTGTGCACCAACTCTCAAAACATAAAAAAAATAATCAAAATATTGCTTGCAATGGATAGATATCGAGTTAACTAGAAGATTAGCAGCAGGACAAATCAGCTGATTCAATAAATGTCTTAGGGAAAGCCGGAGTCTACAAAATCTCTTGTCCAGATTGCAATAAAATCTACATTGGTCAGACGAAAAGGACTTTGGGAACAAGGTTTAAGGAACACATCGCAGAGGAAAAAATAGCCTAACAAAAAGATAGATAAAGGACTTCATTATGAATTTAAATCCAAGGTTGCAAGGACATATCGTTTTGACAAATTAATTTTGAAAATAATTTGACAAAGGATAACATTAACATCCTGCGGAGTGTATCTTCGCCTTGGAAACTAGACGTAGCAGAAAGTTTAGAAATATTTAAACATAATCCATCAGCATTGCTTAATAGAGATCAAGGAAACGGATACTCTAGACCCTTTAGCATGCTACCTAAAACCATACATCGTAACATGCCTCTACCGGTTGGAGATTAAATTTAGGTACCTGGTTATGTAAATTGTGACATGGCAGTGGATACCTGTTGATTTTTAGTACCTATTGATTAGTATTTAACTCGTAGATAAAAGATGGATTCTTCAGTGGTGTTGAGTACTTGGCACTGATGAAGTTCGCAAGTAGTAGACGAAATATACGTATCTGTCAAAAGATAAGCAATTATAACGGAATTTAAAGGAAATAAACCAACCCACTCAAAGCTCTTCATTAAGTGTATTTTTCAACCGATTCAAGTATGAATATGGCATTAAATCTATTTTTGAAAGTTGGTGCACAGGTAAAAGGTGAGGTTACGCGGCGCCACTGGACAGGGGCAAGCCAGCTGTACTCAGAGTTGATATTTTTGCAGCGAGTAAATTTGAGTAACTCATGATTACTCGAAATTGATCAAAGTAGTCACACATTCATCAACAAATAAAGATTAAAAACTGTTTACATAAACATTAGCTGTCAGACTGATCTTTTTCGTATTATTTTATTATATTGATACTATAACCAGCCAAATTTAATTAATTTACGACACATTACCCTGATATGTTAAATCATGAAAAAATGGTATGTTTAGGATGTGTGACTTTAAAGATTATCCAATTCAAATGAATCCATCCACAAATCCGTCTGAAGTTTTGTGAAACCGTGTGAGTGGACAGTAAAATAGAAAACTAGCCAGCTGGATAGGTAACTCCAGCTGACATCTTTGTCAAACTAAACATTTAAATCGTTGTCGAAACATCCAGAAAGGTGTGCATTATGATTTGAGCAAATTAGGGGTCTACAATTGTAACGGTGAACTTCAGCAGAACGAATTTATGAAGTAGGTGGCCCTTATTACCGATGTCACTTCACGGTGAAGTGACAACTTATCACTCACGGTGAAGTGATTCCCATTTGATTTACATGGCAATACCAGGCGGGATTCATGGGTGCCCGCGCTACCACGGACCAAATTTTAGCGATTCGGCAGGTTCTGCAGAAATGCCGCGAATACAACGTGCCCACACATCATTTGTTCATCGATTTCAATTCCGCATACGACACAATCGATCGAGATCAGCTATGGCAGATTATGCACGAGTACTGATTTCCGGATAAACTGACGCGATTGGTCAAGGCGACGATGGATCGGGGACACTCTCGAGTCCCTTTGAATCTCGAAGGGGGTTACGGCAAGGTGATGGACTTTCGTGTCTGCTGTTCAACATCGCGTTAGAAGGTGTGATCAGAAGAGCTGGGATAGGCACGAGTGGCACGATCTTCAGGAAGTCCATCCAGCTTCTTGGCTTCGCCGATGACATTGACATCATGGCACGGAACTTTGAGACGATGGCGGAAACGTACATCAGACTGAAGGCTGAAGCTAGGCGGATTGGACTTGCCATCAACGCATCAAACACAAAATACATGAAAGGAAGAGGTTTTAGGGAAGACAATGTTAGCCTCCCACCCCGAGTTCAGATTGACGGTGACGAAATCGAGGTGGTCGATGAGTTCGTGTATTTGGGCTCACTGGTGACCGCCCAAAATGATACCAGCAGAGAAATTCAAATACGCATTATGGCAGGGAATCGTGCCTACTTTGGACTCCGGAGGGCGCTCCGGTCGAATAAAATTCGCCGCCGCACGAAGTTGACTGTCTACCAGACGCTGATTAGACAGGTGGTCCTCTACGGCCACGAGACCTGGATTATGCTTGTGGAGGTGTTTTCGAACGGAAGGTGTTGCGTACCATCTACGGTGGAGTGCAGATGGATGATGGAACGTGGAGAAGGCGAATGAACAACGAATTGCACCAGCTGCTGGGAGAACCATCCATCGTCCACATTGCAAAAATTGGGCGACTACGGTGGGCTGGGCACGTCGTAAGAATGCCGCACGACGACCCAGTGAAAATGGTTCTAGAAAGCGACCCAACAGGAACAAGAAGAAGAGGCGCGCAGCGGGCAAGGTGGATCGACCAAGTAGAAGGCGACTTGCGGACCCTTCGCAGACTACGAGGTTGGCGAAGTGTGGCCATGGATCGAGTAGAGTGGAGACGACTTCTTCGCACAGCAGAGGACAACAAGGCCTTAGGCGGCGTTTAAAAAATGATGTTTTGGATGCATTTTAACAACATGAAAACTGATAATTGTTGATTTTAAAATTAGACGACACCCACCTACGAACTCCAAATTTAGCAAAAGACACCTCCCTATAGCTGTCAAATTTACTTTTGGGAATATTCCTTTTCTTTTCATCTGCGTACCAGGCTTTAAATTTAACTCATGGTTAAAAATGACATTTCGAAAGTTATTTTCTATGTTCGAAAATCCCTGTGCTGTCGATCGACTGGTTTTCGAGAAGAACTCAGCCACAGTTGTCAAAATTTAACTTCTTGTCTGTCAGAAGTAACCACGCTCGGATATCAGGGTTAATCGATAACTTTCAATCTGTCAAATTTTAAACAAAAGTTAAAAAAAATCCACCAAATAGTTCACAGCCTTAAACTGGGTTTAGACAGAGCAAGTCAATTGATCTAGTCAGTTGAATTCAACTGTCTTGAACGCAAATTGAACGTGTAAACTATGCCATTCAACTGACTTGATCAACTCACTTGAATTGAAAAAAATTGAACCAGGCTCAACTTTTCAAGCCAATTGAATTCAACTGAGTGGATCATTTGACTTGCCTAGTCTAAACCCAGCCTTAGTGATCACTGTTAGACTCCCTTCGTCACTGACGAATGATGTATGGAAAAGATGATGTTTCTACGGTGACAATTTATTTTTCGTTTTCGTCAAACGTCACTGAACAAACTCTGATCTAAACCATTAAATGGTTTGTTAAATTTTGTGGGATAGTTATACCACAAACGAAGTGATAGACGGAGCGGCTCGAAAACTTTGGTGACGCACCTGCTAATGCAATTTTTCAGTGTACCACATGGAAAAACCACTGCTACTGGATTGTGCCACATGGCAACACTAAATGTACTAGAATGTTTTGGTTCTATCTCTTTCACTCTACTCTAAACTTAAATGCATAAAAAAATTACAAAATGATACACTCTTTGCACACTGTCAAAGATCATATTGCACACAAAATCAACTATGTTCAAATCAAAACAAAAATACTAGCCCATCTAGTGGCTAATGGCACAAGCTTCTAAGAAAATTCTATTACAGGGAATCACATTATTTTAATTGATTTCTTCGCCAGTTAGTCGTCTGTTACTTCGTTTGTGGTTATGCCATCCAGATTGCCGTTCGTTGAGGTTTGTGTTTATTATTAGATTTATTTTGAACTTTGTACATTAGCCAGATGTGGGCCTCGTGAAAATGTGTAGTGGCAAAGAATGTATGGGAAAAGGATTGGCAAATCAAAGATGGCACTCGTGGAGAATAGAAGAACTATGAAAGTGATGATGGTTTCAGAATTTTCCACGGGGAGGTATACGAGTGCAATCTTAAAATGCTTTTATTTTGCAAATGGAGCATTTTATTTAAATCTGGTTGCTGCTACAGTTGTAGAAAAGCTGAAATCTATGTATACACATAAAAATCTAAAAAGAAATTATTTTTTCTATAATATTATTATATATCTATTAAGTAGTCCTTAAGTTTTCTATTAGCGTAGCATTAACCAGATTTAAATAAAATGCTCCATTTGCAAAATAAAAGCATTTAAAGATTAACCTCACCGTGTAAAATTTCGAAACCATCATCACTCTCATAGTTCTTCTATTCTCCACGAGTGCCAACTTTGATTTGCCAATTCCGTTAATCATAAAAAAAATTAAAACACTCCTATAGCAAACAATAATCCTGGCAGCACTGCTATACGACTTGCAATTTTTTTTTCTGAAAAAGGTTTTCATTTTTCCTTCTTGATACATGCTGATGAGTCACTGCAAAATTTCCGATTGCGATTTTTCTACCTTCTATTCACCAAAGCACCTTCTATCCACCGTGAACTAAATTTGATTGGAAGACACTTTTTCTTTTTTGAATTTGCAAATTTTCTTATAACCACCGTCACCCAAAAAGTGATAAAATATTACTTCGCGAATCGAGCACGCACCGCACAAACAAACACGAACCACGGGACTGATGATGCGAATGAAGTGAAGAGACAAACTGTTTTGTTTTGATCCTGATTTTCATTTCTTGGCGTATTGAGCTTTCAGATGTTTACACACCTACACTTGCGGAATCCAATTTTCAAGTGCAAACGTTGTTATCCTCACTTTCGCTCCAGCCAGAAATGTTGGTTTGTTATTGTTATCCTCACATTCGGACCATCAATACTCGCGCACATAGAATGGACTAAGCCAAATGTTGAAACGCTCAAGCCAAGCTGTCAAAACTGAACCCTTCAGAAACATACAAGCATGGGAAAAAGAAACGCGGTACAGTTTTACTGAAACCAATGTAAAAAATAAAATGCGGTGTTGGCGAGATGGACCGTGAGCGGTCTTAGCCGTCCAAAATAAGGACAACACAAAGAAAAAAAATAAAATGCGGATAAAATGTTTAATACTCTCCCAATCAGCCGAACTTAATATTACATATTACCGAACATCCATAGTCTATAGTGGAAATACTCAGAGGGAGAGATGGGCGGAGATAATGTTTTGAGCCAAATGAACTGCCAAAATCTGAGCCAATCTAATAGCGAATTTGTTTATTATCCAGGTTGGAACCAGTTCCAACCCGTACGAACCCGAGCTTATTGTCAGTGCGAACCTCAACCTTAGCCAGGTTACAAAAACAAACGTTTACAATGACATTTGACAGACAACAAGCCGACCCAATCTTGATACCCGATTTAGGTTGGAACTGAATCAAAAACAAATTCGCTATAACATTCTGTAGATAATATATGTTGATAATAAATTAAAAGTAATAATAATCCTAGTGTATTCAAATAATAATAATGTATGTGATAATAATAGATTATGTGTAGCCTAGTAGCCTGTGAATGTGAATAAAATAAATAAAACGAAAGCACTTAGCTCTCAGACACGCGAGAGTGTGAGAGTGAAAAGGAGAAATAAAGCGAAAGCACTAATCTCTCAAAAGCGCTAGAGTAATTCTAGTACGTCTCTGAGAGAAACATGTAGCTAAAGCATCGCAAACAGGAAAGCTTCCATGGAAATTGAGAGCTGAGAGAGGATAACTTGATCATGAGACAGACGTGAACAAGAACAGTTCAGTTGTGTGCATCAATTTACAGATTGAAAGGATGTAGAAATCTGGGAAATCCAACACATTCCTATTAGAATTTGTCCGAGGATTTCTTATTCTTACTAGATCAAATTTGAGAGTATGTATAACAATCTAACAAAAATTCAATCACCTTTATGTTTCGTGTGCTTCTCAAATTCAACTAGTTTTTGGAAACAAAAACAATATTCTATCTCTATTGATTAATTGATGAGTTTGTTAATTAATGACACCAAGAAATGTGCAAAATATTACGATGCAATCAATAATTATTGTTTTGCACGTAAATCTAATCAAAAATAAAAGTCATCTGAAATGCTGGCTTCTAGCAAGGGTTGCAAGATAATTTAGGTACAAATCCCTGCTGCCGAATTGTATTTTGTTTTCTCCGCCTATCTCTCCCTCTGAGTATTTCTAGTCTATAGTTGCTATATTTACACTGGTAAAAATCCACACATAACTAATAGAAAATTTCTATAAAATATTAAGCATAATATTCATTTGGCCACACATAATTAGATATCCTGGAACAAAACACATACAGATTATGTGTCATATAAACAGTATGTGTGATCACATATAGAGATGATATGTGCAAGTGAGATTTATGTGTCTGGCATATAGAAACTATATCATAAATCAAATTGCAAAAATCTATGTGTAGAACACATAGAACCAATCATTGACTTTTTCTCAGTGTACAGTCTGGTGGATAGAATTTCGATCTTTCAAAAATCGGAATTAATTCAATATATTGTAGATCATCAATTGAAAATGTACTGTAAACATTTATAAACAAATCTTTTATAGTTCTTTCCTCACTAACCAAACACTAATTAGCTGTATCATCGGATAGGGATACTGTTACAAACCCGTTGATGATGTTGGTTTGCTTAGGTGAGCCTTTAGTCAGAGGAAAATGGTTTCCGAATTTTTGTTCTCAAAAACTGATGTGCGCTTTTCTGTTGTTGATCGTGGTATGCTCGATTGGTTCCGCTATTTGACAGCTGAATTGGTTCCCGAGATTCAATCCGCCAGACTATAAATATAGGGACTATACCACTCCCCTGTGTCGCACTTTGTCCCATATACCTGTGAAAATCCCGTTGCTCCGACGAGATCGCTTCCTCTTGAGGCTACTCACCGGCTGTGTAGACGTCCGTTCACGGCGACAGATGGAATGCGAAAGAGGGACGAGTGGCAGTGTCGATTGCGCTCGTCGTCTGACTCGGTTGAGCGTTCGTGTTTCCAATGATCGTTCGTAATCGTACCACACTGCCGTGTTGCACGAACACTATCGGCTAACATCTCTATTGATAGGGTGACACATTTATACCCCACATCTCCCTTCTCCACTCGACAAAAAAAAATAAAAAAAAGGTTACCAACTTCCCTGTTTTCAGTTTTTTTTCTTTTGATGAAAAACGAAAGTAGAAAAGTAGAGATTGATATGCTTTTATACATTTTTTTATATATATATATATTTTGTTTTGTTTTTTTTTTTTTTTTTTTTTTTTTTACGCAATCGAGGAAAGCACGTTTGTTTTGCCGGAAACGCAGACTAAGAACTTACAGATAATTTCAGCGTATGGTGGTACCGTTAATTGGAGGAACGGGTGTTGCATCGCCTGGCCTTGTGCCTTCTCGTGCTGATGAGGATCACGAATGTCCTAAAAAGTGTTTAAAGTTATAATAATAAACAATGCCAATAATATGTTCCTTACTTTCACGAATCAGTAGAATGCCCCTTTACTTTCAAGTTCCTGTACGTAGTTATCTAGGTAAGCTGGAGCACGCTTTCCTCTCGTTGAACGTCGCTGGGTTTCTTCGATCGGACGGTTGTCGACAACGCAATCGGCCGGTCTTTGATCCATGTCTCGCCATTCGTGCACTTTTTTGGTTTGACACACATGTCGTTTAAGAATCCGGCCATGCTCGTCACTAAGGACAAGGTTCCCATTATCCTCCTCCATTACTGTGTACCGCTGTGGATCGAATCTTGTCTCTCCTTTTGCTCTACATTGACGCTCGACTATGACGGTGTCACCAGGCTTTACACAGGACTTCCGTGCACCTCTGCGTGCATCTTCGCGGTCCTTAGCTTTGAGTTTAGCTTCCCGGTCCTTCGCATCTAGCAGATCGTCGTCGTGGTTCGCTTTCGTATGACGTAAAAGTGGTAGTCGGCGCTTTATCTTGCGACCCAACATAACCTCCTCCGGGGGGACTCCGGTTACTGCATGTGCAGCAGCATTGTGAGCACTAACAGCGGCCTTCAATTCCTCTTCATAGGAAGTCTTATTAGAAACTGCTGTTGACATTGCCTTGTTGATCACTTTCATGCTGTTCTCCACCAACCCGTTTTGCTGCGGGAATAGTGGTGTAGAATAAACAGTCTGAATTCCTCTCTCTGAGCAAAACTGCTTGTATTCGGTGCCATTGAAAGGTGGCCCATTGTCAGATCGGATGCATCGTGGGAACCCTTCCCTCTCGAAGATTTCCTCTAGGATTCGTTTTGTACACTCAAAATTCGTCGATTTTACTGAGCGTGCGATCAAGTATCGTGAACGATAATCGACGATGACTAGGATCAAGATGCTGCCGAATCTGATATAAGGGCCGTTAAAGTCCATTGCGATCGTCTCCCAAGCCACCTGAGGAGCAAATACCCGACGCATTGGGGTGGGCTTTTCCGGTCTACCATTCGTAGCACAAACTTGGCAGGTCTTAACCCATGTTTCTGCATCGCTTGCAATCCCCGGCCACCACACTCGCTGTCGTAGGATGCTCTTCATCTTGGCCGTCAATGGGTGGCCATCATGTGCTAGTTCGAGTGCTTTTTGTCGAAGTTTGGTCGGGATAACCGCGCACCCGTTCTTAACTAGAATTCCGTCTTGAATGGAAAGGTCGCTCTCAACAGATTGGAATCTCCTCAGTTCCTTCGTCCATTTGTCAGTCTCCAAAGCGTCGGCCACCTTTTGGAGTTCCAAGTCCTGAGTAGTTGCTTCCCGGATGTCCTGTTCTGTTAAGAAACCAACAGCATTCGCTTCGAGAGTAGCTATTTCCCATGGGCTTTGTTGCTCATCAAAAGGATCGTCGTCTCCCACGTATAGGCGGGACGATGAGTCCGCGATATTGTCGCGCCCACGCACGTACTCTGCGTCATAGCTATAAGGACTAAGCCTAAGGGCCCAACCGTCAGCTCTAGTCAAAGCTCTTTTCGAGTTCTCACGGGACCTATTCAAAATGAAATGCACTCCTTGTGCATCTGTCCGAAGAGTGAAGTGTCTGCCGAGCAAGAAGAACGAGAAATGTTCGACTGCCCAAACAGCTCCCAATGCTTCCCGCTGGTTTTGCGCGTACTTTTTCTCAGTAGATGTAAGGGCTTTTGACGCAAAGCTGATGATTCGTGGGTTACGATCTTCACTCTCTTGAACGAGGACTGCACCGAGTGCATTTGGGGAGGCATCGGTATACAATACCGTTTTGTCGCTCTCGGAGAAGAAGCCTAGGGTGCTAGTGCAATGAACGATTCGTCTTTTCACCTCCTCGAATGCCTGCTCTTGATCCGTACCCCACGTCCATGTTTTACTTGTAGCTACCGACCAAAGCTGGCTCGAGATGTCGGCGAAGTTTTTTATGTAAGGACTAATATAGGAAGCTAAGCCAAGGAAGCTCCGTAGCTCTGAAGTAGTGGTCGGATGCCTGAATTTACGGATGCTGTTCACTTTGGCTTCGTCTACGTGGAACCCATCTCCGTCTAATTCGTGGCCAAGGAACTTTAGACGGGTTCTATCTAGCTCACATTTATCCATGTTCAGTGTAAGGTTGTTACTTCGGAGAATATGAAGAACCCGAGCAGTAGTGATTCGTAGTTCCTCTAAG